TTAAGCCTGTTGGACAGTCCTTTTCCTGGCTTACCGCTTGCTGATCCATCCATATAAATTATTTTGTGTTTGCTGTATGTTTTCTCTTGCTGAGGTATCTTTTCAGCATTCAGCTGAGTTTTGGATTATTTTTTTTTCTTCTCTCTTGATTCTTTTATTGGATATTTTGTTAGAAGTATGAACTACAGTAAAAGACAATATCAGGTACTTCACTAAGCAGTAAGTCTTTCTTCCTGACATTAATGAATAAAGATACCCTTAATTAATTTTCTCCATTCCTGTACTTGATAAAAGCATAAAGTAGCATGAAATCATTTGCAAAGACTGCTATTTATCGCAATACTAACTTGACAATATGGTAGGATATGGGTGGTGAGGGTGTGTCAACTCTCTGTTTAATCAGGAACTTCTTACATATGAGTGGTACTTTTATCAGCTATAAAATAATCATTGCTTTGGCATGATAGCATCACTACAGTATCTTCTGCCTGGAAGCTTTTATTACAAGTATCTACACTCAGCAGCATGAAATTTTATTTTAGAAGGTTTCAAATCCTGGACTTACTGTGACCATGACTAATTATAGAATCATAGAATAGTTAGGGTTGGAAAGGACCTTAAGATCATCTAGTTCCAACCCCCCTGCCATGGGCAGGGACACACTAAACCATGTCACTCCATTTTGTGCATCGTATTTGCAGGGTGCTGATAAAAACTAAAAAATGTTTTCAGCAAAAAGCAATGCTGGACAAAAATGGAATGCAGCTAAATACTGAGCTAAAGGTATGCTAGCATTGGCGGACACAAGCTATACAGAACGTATGCCCTGTCAGAACAGATATAGGTCAATCTTGCTCTAACTTTCGCTGTAAACTAAATAATTACAAACAGTAGTCAAAATCTCAAAAGGTCATCATTTTATGTTTGCCTCTGTCAGTGACTTCAAGAAATGATTATATGGTCTGTTCAATGCAGAGAATTAATGAGTGAAATGTAACAAAATACTAATTTGAAGTCATAAGGCTTTGATCTGCCAAGAAAATACCGTGGGGTAATGAATTGCTATGTGTTAGCTCCTGTGAGGTAACTATCCATACACACACATTCTTCCTCTCCTGAAAATGCAATATAATCATAGGTAGTTTTCCTTGCAATCAAAGAAGGACAGGCTACTTCACTTCTACTTGAAGTAAGAGAATGCCTTATGCCAAATCCATCTAGACCAATGACAGAAGGTTAAAATGGTTGCTTAGGGAGACTGCATCAGAAACAAGTCAAGCGTAGAACAATCTTTTGCAGGAATATTCTCCATATTTCCAGGTGGAGCCTGCATCAGAGTCCTATTTGGAGCTACTGTATTGAAAATCTCAATTGACCTATCCTTCTTAAGTTTGTCCAGTACCTTTTATTTAACTCACTCATCCTCGCTGCCAAATACTCAACTATTGTTACAGCTCATGCAAGAAAGCGCAGCAGCTGTAGAGCTGGTATGCTTACCATGTAATCCACTAAGCTAGTTAGATAGCATTCATACAAATGGGGCATGAATGGGTGCTTTACCAGAAGCAGAAGCTTCAGCTTCTGCTTAGCTTTACTTAGGACTAGGCTAAGTTATTCCAATGCAAATATGAGCACAATAAACAACAGATCACAGATCAGCTTTTAAATGCAGAATTTTATTACTTTGGATGCTGAGAATAGATGCTTTCTCCAATTTATAGACAAGCAAAATCAAAAGGGCAATAGAACCTAGCTTTTCAACAGACTAACTGGAAGGAGCAAGTAAGGGCCCCTTTGGGGAGTGGTAACTAAGTAACTAACTAAATAGGTTGCAATTCAAGAAGATGAGAGAGATGGAGAAGGTCCCCAGAGTGCTGGGAGACTGATTACCGATGCATACATATGAGAGTAGTAGAAACCCAGAAGAAAGCTAGAGATGTCAAGGGCATACCTATGTGATCAAGCCATGAAGGATTATTTGGAGCAAATTATTTTGCAGGATTATTTTGAAACAAAGAAGCTGCCTTACTGTGATTATTGCAACTATAGCATAGCAAACAGGATGCTGCATACCTTCTTTAAATTACCAGGATTGTCGCTATTGGGCTACCCTCCATTTCTCTTCCTAATGCATAGAGGCTCTAAATATTGGCTAACCACTCTCACCAAAGGCAATTAATTCCTTTCTTACATGCAAAACAGAGAAATGTACCTTCCAAGCTTTTGCAGAACTACAGTAACAGTAATATTTTGCATATTTGACAGCTCAATAAAACAGATTTTTTGTCATGAGGTGCCAAAGTGTGATGTGACATATGAGATTTATGTAAGATGCTAAATCCTTAAGGTTCGCTGTTTGCGTTTTATTAATAAATGAACCATAGTTCATTTTTTCCAGAGCACTGTTTAAAAATCAATGACACAAGTATATGTGTAAGGTGAGAAAAGGTCATGATAATATGACTATATATTAACAGTTTCAACTGTGATAAATAGCTTCCTTTTGTAATAATTTTAATTCTGTTTTTTAAGAGTGTCATGCTAACTACTTTTAGGAAAAGTTGGCCCCAGCTTTGATACCTTTGGGCATTTCACCCAAATTGGTTAACACTGTCTGAAAAGTGGCTGATAATCTGATTAGCTTTTCCCCCACACAATTTTCTTTGGAAAGTGACAACTACACTGCGACTGAGCCAGACATGGAGAAGTTCTCACCCTCCTTCCAGTGAAAACAAGGATGGCTGTAAGCCCATCTTGCCTACTCCCTTTCAGGACTAAAACTAAACAGAAAATCTTGGTTTGCTCTTTTCTTGTTGTTTTAAGACGAAAACCAACCAGTTTGAAGGAGGCAGTGTCATATTTATGTCTATATTTTACCTCTATCTCTAACATTATTTATATTTCTATCAATAAAATGGATCTGGAAATGCCAAAAAGCTTTATTTCAATTCCCTGTTGTGTTACACTAAGCCCAGAGTTCTATTATCTGAACAGAACAGTATCATTTGAAAAGCAGTTGTCTTTTCCCTCCCCCTCCATTACTTCTGCTGAGATACAGCTCCAAAATAACACCCCTCCAATAGTCAGATCCTGATTCTAAATTCACATCTTAAAAATTTTATTATGGTCAATTCACAGGTATTTGTTATCCTGCCAGCACTGTCCCTTTGCTGAACAGCTCTTTAGTCCCTCTCATGTTTTTCTCCCCCCCCCCTGCCTCCCCCATGTGTGTATGTGACAGTGGCTAGGTAAAACACCAGTACTAGGGTAGAACCCCTCAGTGACTGTATTTCTGATCAATATTTGACATTATTTTTCTTTAACAGCCATGACACAAGCAGCATGAAATGTGCTGATGTCACATATTTGGGAAGCACCAATAATGCAAACCAGGACTGCAATATTGTGTAGACCTATAATTTTAAGCAGTGGAAAATACCCATCAAATGAAATGTAACAGTTTAAAATGCAAGATGCTGTGCTTAAAGACTAAAAGAAGAAACTTTTGCTATGAGAACTTTTGCTGTTTGCACTTGCGGTTGGAATCAAGTTTTTGCACATATTGATCACACATGAAACAATAGGCAAAGGGAAGCCAGAATACACTGGGAAAGGCCCTGCAGAAATACTGAATATCTCTGCCAGCCCATAGCAGCACTCAGATGCTTCAAAACTGAAAGGAGTGCAGAGAAGGACTAGGAGATAAGGTAATGAAGAACCCATTGTCTAAGACATTTATTTGTTTTACCTCAGTCTGTGTTTTGTTTTGCAATTCCCTTTCAATTACAGTATTACAGTAAAGTCTTAAATACTTTAAATCTACTGAAAATTGAATGGAAGGATATTGGATGAAGATGTTGTGGTTTAATTTTAATTCTTCTAACTAATACCGATTTTATTTTAGTCATTTTTTTCTTCCTTGCTACTCTTGCCAAGTGTGGAAATTAACATGAATCTCCATGTCAGTCTTCCCCTGCTGTGCAAGCAATTTCTAAACATCAGGTTGAACTGCATAAGCAAACCAACCCTTGTGCTCCACACTGCTGCAGCCAGGCTGCTTCCAAGATGTAAAGTAATTTACGTATAGCTACACTACATTTTAAACAGCTCTGTAAATATGAGAATAGCTTTAAGCTTGTATTTTAAAACTCTTCTTAGCTGGGCAGAAAACAGCTGTAGTGGAGTCCATTTTCAGAGATTCCTCTTCTCATAAAAAACTCTCAGTGCCTGTGACTGAGCCCTTGTAACCAAAACTTTCCTCCAAAACCAGTCTTTAGTGCCTGTTTGACTGTTGTTGCTTTCACACACCACTGCCTTTTCTCTCAAAAGATCTGAGTGATTTCCCTCTGTCCCTGTAGTGATGAAGGCTAACCACATCTTGTGGTGTATTGGGAAAAGCGTAGCCAGCAAGTTAAATGATGTGGTTTTTCTCCTGTATTTTGTAATTACGAGACCACATCTGATGTACCGTGTGCAGTTTAGGGCTTCCCAGTATAAGAACATGGACATACCGGAACGAATCCACTGGAGGGCCACTAAAATGACTAGTAGGGTGGAATACATCATACATGAGGAGCTGATAGAAGGGCTCTGTTTGTTCATCCTGTACAAGGGAAGTCTAGTGGGGGCTCTTCTGCTATTATAAGATGACATAGACAAATTCTTCTCGGGGCACAGTGAAAAAGTGAAAGGCAATGGTCCTAAATGGCATCAACAGAAATTTTGGTTGAATTGGAGAAAAAATGCTGTCACACAGAGAGTAGTCAAACACTGAAACAGACTGTCCATTAAAGTCGTGGAATCTCCATTCCTGAATTTATTCAAACCTTGACTGGATAAGGCCCTGAGAAACTTGATCTAACTTCCAAGTTAGATCTGACTTCAAAGTTGGCCCTGCTTTGAGCACAGTACAGACCAGATGACCTCCACAGGTCACTTCCAATCCAAACTAGCCTGTGGTTCTGAGACATTATAAGTTTGCACTTCTACCTTGTCTTTGTAACCCTTTGGAAATGTATGAAAGTGAATCCCAGTGTTATTTGTTCTAAAAGAGGATGGAGAGATTCTTCCCTCAGAGTGTCTTGCCTCCTTCCTCTTGCGGAATGGCTGTTTTTCCCCAGGCCTGGTTGTGTGACTCTTGTGTGTTAAAAAGGAAGCTTCGCTCATGTCAACCTGCCTTTCCCTGGTGTTAGCATCAATTTTCATCCCTTTCCTTACAGATTCTAAGTCACTCTCTAATATGCCATCTGTGATGCCAAGTTGCCCACACAGAAGAGACAACAGTAAGCTCTCATCATAAATAAGACAAATAGCATACTGGGCTATATTAGCAGGTGAGTGGCTAGAAGTTAAAAGCAAGTTGTTATTCCCCTTCAGATGGTGATAGTGAGGCCGTACCCGGAATATAGTGTCCTGAATCTCCCATTGCCTAGCTCAGAAACAATGTTGAAAATCTCCAGCAAAGTGGCATGAAGATGGAAATGAGTCATGGTCATAGTTTCTCGCATATGTGGGGAGAAATTTTGTGGTTTGGTGAAGAAGAAAATATGGTGTGAGCTAAGACTGGCCTGCAACTATCTGAAGGGGAAGTATAGAGATGAGAGAATCTTTTTGTGACAGTTGAAGATAGGTTTGCAAGAGGCAACAGCAGTGACATGCAGTGTAAGAACTTCCAAGTGAACATTAGGAAAAACGTTTCAGCTAAGAGTGTGGTGCAGCACTGGAACAAAGAGATTGAATCCATCCTTGGAGGTTTTAAAAACTCAGCTAGACAAAGCCATTGCTGACTTGATCAGCTGTTGAAAAGTCCTCCTGCAATTAGGCAGGTGGACTGGGAGATTTTCTAAGGTCCTTCCAATCACCATGTTCCTACTGTGAGGGTGGTGAGGCACTGGATTGGGTTGCCCACGGAAGCTGCAAATGCTCCATCCCTAGCAGTGTTCAAAGCCAGGTTGGACAGAGCCTTGGGTGACACGGTTTAGTGTGAGGTGTCCCTGCCCATGGCAAGGGGGTTGGAACTAGATGATCTTAAGATCCTTTCCAACCCTAACTATTCCATGATTCTATGATTTCTGTAATTCAGTCTCCTATATCATATCCTGTATCATATCCTATATCAAATCATTATCTCTACTGCTGTGACCTTGGCTACCTCCATTGTCCCTTTCTAGACAAGTAACTCCTGTTCTTTCCAGAAAACAAGTTTTCTGTGTGTTCTTTGCCCATGATTTTCAATAATTTAAACCTGGTTTTCAGCTCTGCTTCTCCACGAGTGATGTCTTTCTCCACTTTGACCTGTTGGCGTACATTTTTTTTTGTGTCATCCAACTAATTCAAGCATCTCTTCTCTATGTCAACTCATTTAATAGGTGAAAATTTCAAAGGCCTGCGCAGTCTCCTCTCTCCCTTCCTTTGCCCTCTATTCTCATATCGCTCTTTCACCAGGCCTCCAGTTGCAGCGCTAATCCTCGAATCTTTTCTGTCTGGCAACACTTCATTATTAGGTTATTTCCATCAGGTACCTAGTCAAGATTAAAAAATATCCTACAGGTTCTGCATCAAGTCCTTTGCATGCCTGTTCCATCTGTAGTCAGATTTTATGCATTAAAGAAACTATTTCTCTGTCCCTTGCCTGTTTTTAATAGACTGTGGAAGTTTTTTTGGATATGTCATACTGAGTGAACAACAACCTGCGCGGACATTAAAATATTCAGTAACTTATGAAGATTATCAAGTCTGTGAAAGATGATTTTGCCTGACCTTTTAAAGACGTGTTGTTTAAATTAGTTCTGTAAGAGATCAATTCAGATCAAATTTCCCTAAAGAGAAAATTGTATTTCCTTCATCTCACCCTACGAAGAAATTTTTTTAATACTCTTTATTTCTTCGATTTTATAGCCCCTGGACTTTCCTCAATGTTGGCTACTTCTATTGTTAAATCTCAGCAGCTAACTGTCCATCAGCTGTGATTACAAGCAGAAAGCTTTGGCTGGCTCAGCTGTATGCTATCTGTGTTACTCAGCTCTCCTGGAGGAGACTGTAAAGTACAAATTGCAGTAAACCACAAATCCCACATACTCTAACCAAGCCAACTACCAGCAACCTTTGCAGCCTTGTCTTTGGTTTGAAATTAAGTGGGAAACTGGGAGAACATGCCACAGAGTTTAGTATTAGCTGAAATTCCCCAAACTGAGGAGATTTAATGCGACCAGGTAGCTAGAACTGATACAGCTGGTTTGAGATGTGACAACAGATGAGTAAGTAAAACAAATTTCCAGTGATGTGAATTTGTTGCTGTGTCATGATTTTCATGGTATGTGGTGATTTGCTTTAATATACCATTTCCCAGAGTCACAAGACTTTAAGAAAGCACCAGACTTCACAGAGTTTACACATTGAGGTCACAGACTGCAGTCTTCTGCTCCTGGTGTAGTTTAAACAAATACACTTTCCTTGAGTCACTCCCAGTCCTGAAGATCTATTAATTGAAGTGCTTTCCTCATGAAAACTGGAAATCATAATATTTGATTTATGCACAATATATTTATCACAATAAAATAAAATAGAAAAGTTCATGCATCACATTGTCCCAACCCATATTTGTGGATTTGTATTTTTCAATAGGTGGTTCAACAATCCTTCAGATCTAGATAAAACATCTAAAAATGGAATCTTCTAACAATCATTCCTAGGATTTTTTCCTACATAATTTTATGTCTCATTTCATTCCCTTTGTATTAATAGTCATGAAAACTTTTAGAATAGCACTGGAATATCATGTCACAACATGGAGACTGTTATTAGTAGAGGCAGAAAGGATTTAGATGAATTAGTGATGCTGAAACAGAGCAGAAGGAAGAGTTTTCATTTCAGCTGGTGAAAGATTCTACATAGCATAACTGAAGAATTATGTGTTTTATTGCTTGGTTATTTAGCTTCACTTTTCTTCAATAATGAATGAATTAATTAATTCATTATATTAATGAATCTAATAACCTAATTAATTAATTAATATTTATTCCATTCTTTTTGTGAGTTAGTAAATGCAACCCTGCACAAAGACACCATCTGATCTAATGGTGCAGATCTGTTCCAACAGTTGGATACCAAAAGGCCTTTTAAGAATATGCTGTAATAAAAGCTCCTGTTTTCTTTCTGTTCTGGCTTCTTCATGTTGCTTTACCACGGTTTAATGTGATAATTTTCTGTAAATCTTAGTCTTTGAAATATGCAAACATAATTTAATCACAAAGAAGTAAGACAATATCCTATAATATATCAACTATGGGATCCTCAGAGTGATCCTCTTAGGGCCTTGCTCTTTTATCCTCATGATTTGAAAAAACTTCCATAAAAATACAAAGTGACTCACGAAGGGCATTAGGGTTGTGACAGAAGCTTTTGTCTGACCTTTTGTGGGCTCAGAAGATTCAAATTAGTTCTCTAAGTAGAGAGCAATTCAGACAGAAATACTTGAATGAATAAATAACTTGGAGAAAAAGGAAGCCATTTTATTCAGGTTAAAGCTGAATTCTTTATGCTGCATTGATTTCCTTTTCCAAGAGAAAAGAATATGAGATGGGGTAGAAACCCCACCTTTTTTCTCTCATACAAGATCTGCAATCAAATGACTGCAAAAATTAAGAAGTTAAATTCAATGTAAAGGCTAATCAGTTATTTTTCATGTGTTAGGTGCTTACAAACAGATTTTTAAATTTATGGGGGATTATCTGTTCCTTTTTAGCTAATTTAACATAGAGCATGACAAATCTATTGAGCAGTATGAAGTAGGAATTATAACATTTAAAACTATGATACTTAGCAAATTAAAATAATTGAAATTGGCAATCTCTGTTCTCACCTAATTATTGCCTCAGTTTTTCTGTATCATGTTATAATCTCACTCAATTCCTATACAAAAAGCACAGTTAATTGCACTAGAAAACTAAGCAATGTTATACAAAACCTGGAAGTCTTTCAAAGTTATTTGTTTTCTGGGATTATCTGCCAGCCTAGAGTCATTACATAACCAAATCATGATTTTTAGCTACAGGTATTAATGACAGATGTAGATAGTATAGCATCCATGGCCAAAATTAAGCCCCTCTAATGGTACTTTAAAATCATAACATCTTCTAATTAAGTAACTGGTATCAAAGACAACAACAGGCTGGAGAAAACTCGGCACAGAAGACTGCTTCTGTATATTTAGAATGATACAAAGAACTTTAAATTCATTCATCTACTCCTAAATTTGTCCAAAAGGTCACAGAATCAATTTTATGTTACTGTAAGTCACTAAAAGGTTGGCTGATAAATACAACAAGATAAATACTACAAGACCAGAAACCCAAACCCAAACTATAAATTTGTATCTCTCAAGAGCAAAAAGTTCACAACAAAACAGGTACTTGAGACAGGATTTAATTTTAAATGCTTCCTCACTAATAATCACCCTTTTTTATCACCTTTGAGTTGTTGAAAAGAGTTAGTGGAATACATCAGTGAACCTAAGGCTATGTCTATGGTAGTGAATTAAACAGTGCCTGTGAGCATTCCCAGACACTGGAATATGACTGCTCTGAAATTATTAGAGCTGTCTCTGGCATGCTTTTGGCCTGTACCAACTAGCAGTCTCCCTAGCAATTTCCAGGCACTGTCTGGGAGTTAGAACATCCAACAGACCGTTACCACCCAAGGATTTGCATCCAGCCACCTTGTTCTGGAGTGTTTGTTTACTGCTGCACTTGTGAGTCAGTCCATGCCAGTTGGCTTCCATGCCTGGAAATAGTCTTAGGAACAGTTTTATTTGCTAGTATAGACATACTCCTATCCCTTTCCCATAAGTGCTGAGGACAAGCAGGAAGCTTCAGGGAAGTAAGGAATGAATCATTAATGTTTCATTCAGTTGGAATCACTTTTGATGGTCAAATCCATAAGGCTGGTTTTTCTTTTTTTTCCATTTTTTTAAGAAGCCACCTTCCCCTGCTATTTTAATTGCCCTGCAATAGGGGCAACACAGCATTCAGCTAAAGTCAGAAACAGTTTGAGGTGCAGCTTGTTTTTTCTGCATCTTCATTAATCCCATGCAGTATTAAGGGAATTAATAAAAAAAAAGGAAAAAAAGGCTGGAGTTACATTTAAAGACAGAATATGTCAACATTCAGAAATGAGTGCTTGCCACCTCAGGTACTGTCATGGAAGCCAAGACGCCAGAGCATTAATTCTTGCACCTACAGAGAGTTGTTCTGGGCAAACTGTTTCCAGCTCAGTCCATAATGTCTAAACTGTTAGGCTACAGGATTACACTTACTCTCTCTGCCTCCAATACAATCCATTTAAGCATGCAATAAGATGACAACACCTCAAAGCAGATCACCAAATACCCTAATAGTTAAGGCAGCCCTAAAGAAAAGCGGATTTTAAATTCTTCCAGCTGAAGAGATACAAAATGGAAGAGACAGTGTCTCCCATTTACAGCCACTTCCCATGGCTGGATGCTGTAGCCATTAGGACAGAAGGTAAAGTACAATCAAAGTTTACTTGCTCCCTTCCCTTCCTACTTGTAAATACTTACTCTCAAACAAAATCTAGATTCTTACTCTGCAGTTGTGTTATAGATACGCAAGTCGCAAACAGAATGAGGTTTCAGGCAAATGTTATTACCAGTACTTTAGGGACAATTTTAAGTGGCTCCTCAGAACACAATGGGTTTGGGTTATCTCAACTTTGTCTAGTCCCCAAATTCTGGGCTTTGTATTCCACTCACAAATCCCAATCTCATAAAATTTAGCTGTGCTGTGCTGAAATGATGGACACCTAATTGCTGCAATAGCTCTGGCTTTCAGATCTCTGCTGTATTTACACTGTCATGTTATTTTGGTTCACAGTCAAAGTCCCCTGGGGACTGTCTGCACATTGACTATTACTTTGACTCTCATCTGGAAAATCAAGGTGCAGGACTGGCTCTTACCTGAGCTCCAGCTCCTCCAGGCCATACAGACATAGCTCAAGCCATTTGGCTCTTTGAATTCAAACACAACTTCAAAATCAGTAGAAAGAAAGCACTGCCTTAATTCCTCATGCATAATATGGGGAGTAGCAGAACTTTTCTGCCTTACAGGGATAGGAAAGGTAATATATTCCCATGTTGGGGTCACTCATACTATATACCATGGGAGCCATACACAGCCAAAAAGATGAAAACATCTTTGGTGGTGCAGAAGGGGGTGAATGATGGAGGCAGTCACAGATTACTCATTCACAGGACAGACTCATACTGTCCTAAATCCTGGTAAAAGCTTCTTTCCACACACCCACCGAGTATAGCTGAAGGCAAGGCACTTGCAACTCTGTGGCACGGAGTGGAGCAGGGCAGGGGCCAGTGAAGCAGGCTGGGTGCCAGCTGAGTCCCCCAGTGCCAGGGGAATTCTCAGCTGGGAGAAGCTGGCTGCCTTGCAGCCTTGCTCCTCTGCAGATATAGATATATATATATATATACACACACATATACATGTATAGCAGAAATTTTCAAGGAATAATCATCCTCCATATGTCTTCTAGTTTAAGATTTTTATCTCATATCTAGTATAGTATAAACCTGCAGCTGCCTTACCTGTGATTACCCCCAGCTTTCAACATAAACCTGATTGCTAAGCACTCACAGTGACCAACAATTTCTATGCTTCTCTTCTCAGAAAAAGAAGAAAACTAAATATCCCAAGAAGTGTACTGGCCAGAATACCTGTACCGGAGAAGAAATACAGGTAGGCACTCCAAACATCTGCAACAACAGAAAATACCTTTTCACACCTAGCACAGAAATACGTGGGTGAAAGTACTGGCTAAAACGAGGAGGGAAGAGGGAATACTTAAATGGATTTCAAGAAAATAGTAAGTCTTCATTTCTTCCACCCTACTTTTAAAAAACCCCTACTTTAGTAGTTACCAGGTGTTTCTAATTTAATTCATTTCATTAACTTCTTACAACTTGTTCAGCCAGCTCTGCAGACAATTGATTTTTATTACCACATGCCTCAGTGACTTTCTACACTAGATCTTTTTCTTTCCACTGGCTGTACGGCTCTTCAAATCTCTTCAAAATCATCTTTTCTTTTCTTTCAGGCTTTTCAGAGTTTAGTCTGTCTTTTCAATCAACCTTATCACTAATTTAGCACATTATTTTATAAAGCAAATATAATAGACATATAACATAAAAAAATTTACATATATGGTCACTGCTTTCTGAGGTGTGATTTCAAAGTTTTCATTATGGGCTGCTGCTAGTGAGCATTGCTGACAAGACAGAAGAATAGCCAGATTATGATATTGTAACTATTTGATATATATTGCAATGTGAAACAACAATATTTGGAAAGTGCTTTTGAATAATAAAGGAGCTTTTAAGAGCCACAACTGAAGACACCATGTGATGGTGCTGAAACTTCTTAATCAGATTATTTTCATTCTTAATTACACAGGAAGAGTTTACACTGACACCTGCTGTTAAGATTGCCTCACTTTTCCCATTATAAGACCATTTTCAATTTCATTGCCCATTTAACAGTGTGGGCTGATCTTTTCTCGGATAAATGTAATTTTCAGATTTAAATCAAAGGCAAAAAGATAAGACTCGGTGCTTCAGATGAAATGTTTTTGTGATTGTCAAGAATTACACGGGGTTAACAGCTCACTTATTTCATTGAGACTCTCAGTTACTGCATTTTAAAAAATCAGTTATCTACATCATTTGAAACAAGAACTTGAAAATCAGCAGACTTCCACTTGCTGAAGTTCCCTAGAAATGCATTCATACTTGGCCAAGCTATGAGCCCCAGAAAAATCAGACAATACACACTGATGTCAGTGGAAGGGTATTACAATTTTGTATCCAACATCTTTGAAGATTCCACTTGCTTTTACCTCTGACAAATTGCCAGGAGTAGTGAAAAAAGACAGCTGGGGAAAGCAAACACTGACAAAATAGGTAGGATGATGCAGACAGAGGTGTAGCAATGGGGTGTATGAAACAGAAGAATAAATAATTCTGGTAAGACATGTAATGCCAGTGAGCACTGGAAACAAGAATAAATATTAACAAGGAAAAAAGAAGGAAATACTAGGGAGGAGGATAGGAAGCACCAGGCATTTAAATTATGAAGTATTTAAATAATGACTCCAAAGTCTTGACACTTCTCTGCTCTTTAGTAAATGATTTTGAAGCAAACTGCTGTAGTTTTCCACGTCTTTCTATTCATGTGTCCACAAAACCAATAACCCACTTTTTTTACTACTTTGGCAATAAAATAATGATGAAGTTCTGTGCCAATGACCTAAACAGCCCAGGCAGATAACTCACATGGAAGATGCAGTTATCCTAACCTCCCCCAAGGAAAATCAGCATCAGGTTTCTGTGCAGTTTTCTGCATATCTAGAAACGGAGTTTAGACATATGCTGTTAAAAAAATCATTTGTTCTCCTCATAAAAGGGATACTATGCGACTCATGTTACATAGGGACTGAGACAACATTTGTAAAAGAAATAAGGTGTGAAATTACTGTCATCTCTAAATTTGTTTTTGGTAAGTGCTCATCTGCTAAGATCTACATCTGAAATTGTCGCTTGTTTTTCAATCAGGATGATTTTACACTTATTCTTCTTCTCATCCCCTCTCAGAAAATTTGGACTCAGGAAGTTTGGGGTTTTAGCTATGAGTTTGACCCTAGCTTTCTGTATGACTTTTGAAAATACAGAAAGCCCACCTGCCTTTGCTGTCTACAATGCCTAGAAAATAGATATATGTGATCTACCAGCAACTTTCAGAGCATTCCACATACACACTGGCAACTGCATTCTGGCCCAGGCCAGCAGATGCTGAATGTAACAAAGACTACACTTAACATCAGTAAAGGGCAATCCTCAGTGTCTTTGATGTAACACAGCTTAGCATTCATGCTTTCCTTCTCCAGTACTGAGGACTGGCAGGACCCCAACCTTTTATGGTCATCTGCCACCTAACTAACACTTTGTTAAGTAGAACACCTGCAGTGATATTAACTACAGCCCACAGTAGTTTAGCCACTAATGGTCTACATCAGACCAGCAGTCATAAACTGGTTGGAAACTATCCAGTTGTCCCAGCCCTTGGGTTTTTAAGACAGAAAATAGATTAACCTTATTTAAATAAGGACGAATACTAAAAGATTTGTTATGATGTTGACTGGTGTATTTTTAGGCTGGTATATTCTTCAAATACTAATAAATACTATAAAGAAAAACTGATTAAACTAGATGTCCTCCTGACATCAACTGGAACTTATTACATATTTTGGTTAGAGTCCCTGAAGGTCATCCAAAAGCTTTACGCAGAATTGGACTATACATTAAAAGATATGTGATTACAATTTGCATTTCAACAAAATAGTTAAAAGATAGAGAAAAAACAGCATACAGCAGCTGAAAAATTGCAAATATAAATGAGTATCAAATTGGATTTGGTTAAAATAAAATATTCAGTCCAGTATTTTGTTGTGATCACGTGTTGAAATGTGTCTGTGCACAGAACTGCTGGGCTGCATTTGCCAAATCACTGGATGCCCTCAGGGACCAAGGGATGTTGTTAAGAGGTATTCTGCTTAGTATCTTTGTATCTCCATTTCCCTATATTTACACCTTTTACCCTTTTGACTTTTCCTTCAACTCTCCTTTTTTAATTATGATTACTATTATTTGTACTTCTTAATGATAATTTAGTTTCTTCCTGATTCTTTTTTCTGTAGCTTGCCCCTTGCCACTAAAAACATCTCCTTTTGGCCTATACAGTTGTAGCTTAACTACTTTCTCATATGGAAGTTGTTACAAATCTTTGATCATCCTTGGTGACCTTGACCAGTTCTTCTTCAGTCCTTTGTATTCTTTTTTGAGGTCGTGGGGAAGGAGAAGGCCAGACTGCACAAAATGTGTGGTGAAACCACAGATTTACATAATGGCAGAGTGACTTTCTCTCTTTTGTTCTTCATTATTCTCCTAATGGCTCCTAATACTTGATTTACTCTTTTGATCACTACTGAACACTGAGTGATGTTTCTCTGTGACTATCTATCATAACTCCCAACTCTCACTGCAGTCAGCTCAGAGCTCATGTAAGTGAAATTAGGATTTTTCCCTGTTATATACATCAGTGTACATTTACCTACAATGAATTTCACCTGTCATTTTATTGCTCAGTCACTAAGTTTTAGTACCCTGAATAATTTCATATTATCAAACTTGATTACCTCACCACTAACGTGCTTTTTAAAGTCATTTATGAGCATGTTGAATAGCAAAGGCCTAGCATAGATCTTATGGAAAGTCATCTGTCATCATGTTCCACTGTGAAAACCATTTATGCCTGCCTTCTAACCACTTAACCATACAAGGATCTTGCCTCTCATGATGTGGTGCTAGGTTTCCCTAAAAGCCTCTAATAAGACACTTCTCAAAAGCCTTTTGGAAAAACCAAGTGAGCCATGTCAACCTCATCACAGTTATCCATGCAACTGTTGGTAAGACTTCAGAAAAGCCAACATGGTGTTTCTCAAAAGGATCATTTTATCAAGATACTGAACAACTCTTTTTCTGCTAGTTAATCTGCCTGGTACAGATGTCATGCTGAAAAGCTTTGTAGTTACCCAGGTCTCTTCTCAAAACTTTTTAAAATAAAAATTGCCCCGATTTTCAACTGTCCTTGGGTACCAAGGCAGCTTAGTGCAAGAAGTTAGCACTGTCATCTTTGAGGAGCCATTCAGTTATCTTAGACTTGAATTCCTTTTGAACTCTCTGGTGTCCACCACCTTGTCCTGGCTTTGAGCTTTCTGTTTGCTTCATGTGTTGGTTCTATAATCACTAATCTCTGTGTAGGTCCTCTGAAGAGTCTCACAAAGAAGACTTTAGATCAGAACCTGCCCTGTTTCTTGAGCAGCAAGCACTGGTACAAGTAACCGATTTAGCTCTTCTGCAATGACCTCAGCCTCTCCTGAGTGCTCTCTTTATACTGTGATTATTATCCTGGCCCTTCACAGTCTGGTTTACTTCCTGCTTTAGATATATACGAAGAAAGATTTGTAACTTGTGAGCCCTTCTATATGCCCCTCTAAATTCTTGTTTTGCCTAAATGTGCTTTTATATGTTACCTGCCAGAATTTATGCTTTCTTTTTTAATATAGACATGTTTTTTTGAGGAGTGACTCCTTGCTTTCATGATGCTTGTCACTTGCTCCTTAGCTATGTGTGCTTTCCTTTGCCTTTTCCTGCTCTCTTCTTCATACACAGGGTGTGTTGGCCCTGTGTTTCTAACGTTTTGGTGACCTAAATAAATCCTAGGTGAACTAAGGGGATTCCATTCTCTTAGCTGACCTTTTCAGACAAAGTGC